CCATTTGACCCAGTTATTCCACTCCTTGGTATAAACCAAAGGATTTAAAAAATCAGCATACTCTAGTGATACGACCACATCAATATCAATAGCAGCACAATTCATAATAGCCAAGCTACGAGGCAACCTAGGTGCCCTTCAATAGATGAATAGATAAAGAAAATGTGTTATGTATACACAAGGAATATTACTCAGCCAAAAAGAAGAATGATTTTATGACCTTTGCTGGTAAATGGATGGAATGGGAGACTGTCATGCTAAGTGAAATAAGCTATTACCARTTAACCAAAGGCTGAACGTTCTGATATGTGGATGCTAACACATAATAAGGGCAGGGGGCGGGGAGGAGGGAAGAATAAAATTTCACTGGATTAGACAAAGGGGAATGAATGGAAGGAAGGAGGGATGGGATTAGAATAAATCAGATATAACTTTCCTATGTTCATATATGAATACATTACCAGTGTAACTCCACATCATGTACAACCACAAAAACAGGAAGATATACTTCATACATGTGTGATATGTCAAAATGCATTCTACTGTCATGTAACTAAAAAGAATAGTTTAAAAAATGTTTTAAAAGCCCATTATTTGTCATTTTGTTGGTATATATGCATYGGTGTCTCTGTTTAAGTACTGCATCCATGGATTCAACCARTCTCAAACTCATATAAACTTTTCAGCATGATCTAAATACTTCTGGGTTGTTGTATCATTCCTGGGGAGGCCTTACATCTAGGAGTTGAGTGGTGCTGGAGTCTGGACTGCTGCTTGCTTGCCTGGTGGATAGCTCTCATCCAGCAGCCTTCCTTTGCCACCATCCTGGCAATTTCATTTCACTTTACTCAGTTGGGTCCTGTTTAATCTTTGGATTATTCACTCCTAACTATCCATTCTCTAAAAGAGGAAACTTTTTTTTTGAGGTCTTCTAAGAATATTTTAATTTTATCCTAAACTTATAGAATGGAATTATTTTCTCTTAGAATTGTGAAGGTATGGTTCATTGTCTTCCAGTATCCACTGTTGCTGCTAAGTCTTGAGTTATCTCATTCCTGTTTCTTTGTATGTGATGAGTTTTCTTTCTGGAGTTTGTAAGGTCTGTATTCTTGGTATGCATTCATGGTAAAAGTGACTTAGTGTGGGCTTTTTCATTTCCTTTTTTAAAAAATATCTTTATTTATTTTTATGTGGTGCTGAGAATCGAACCCAGTGCCTCACTAGTGGGAGGTGGGCGCTCTACCAATGAGCTACTGCCCCAGCCCAGTGTGGGTTTTTTCTTCATTCTGGTAAATTTGTATCCTCAAAGAGATGAGATGTTGCAAATGAAAATAATAGAATGATATTAAAAAGCAACATTCAGAAATAAAAAAAGATCTGGAAATTAGAACTATAAGAATAAAAATGAAAGATTCAGTAGGGGAGAAGTTAGAATATAAATTGGAGAAAAATTTCCCAGCAGGTTGAATAAACATACAGAGTAGAAACCAGGAAGGAGGGAGGGAGTGAAGGAGAAAGGGGAGGGAGTGAAGGAGAGAGAGGAGAGAGAAACACAGTGTGGGGAGTGAGGATGGGAGGAGCTAGAGTGAGGAATGTGAAGGAACAGGGAGGGCACACAACAGAAAAAGGATCAATTCAGGAGAATTTTTGCATGTTAATAATAGGTGTTAAAGAACAGAAAATGAAAAGAAAGAAATTAAATTTTTTTTTTTTTTTTTTTTTTAGTTGTAGGTGGACTTATTTTTTTATACTTGGTTCTGAAGATCGTACCCAGGGCCTCACATGTGCTAGGCAAGCGCTCTACGGCTGAGCCACAACTCTATCCCCGAAAAGAAAGAAATTTGAAAAGGACATTATTTTGTCTTTGCTGCTTTAGGATTTTCTCAAATGTGTGATGGTCTTTGGGTGTCTGTATTTAAGAGTGGGAACTTGGTAAGAGGGCAGGTCTTATGTATTGGTGTGGATCATAGTGATTGGGTAAGATTACTAACTATTTTGTTGACAGCGCCTAAATATTTGTCTTTGCAGAAGTTTATTCTTGGGCTGTCATTTTCCCCAGAGATTTCTTTGATCTTCCAGTAGAATGAGAGGGCTAAGGAGTCCCACCTCAGCATGTGCGGTTTTTTTTTTGTTTTTTGTTTTTTTTTTAACCAGCTGGGCAGGTTCTTTTACTCCCCATCAGAAGACTCAGATAAAGGCACCGCTGCAGCAGAAATCAGACTCTTCATTGGGATATTTTGTTCCAGTGAGAGACACAGAACTGACCAAGAGAGTGTCAAGCTGGCTTTCCAGACAAGAGGAGAGAGCCAGTCTTATTCTCATGGAATGGGTGGGTTTGAGTTTAGGAATATTAATTGCCTTTAGATGAATTTTAGAAGGTGTTTTTCTTTTCCTTGGTGAGTACTTTAACCTTGAGGAAGAAGGGATAGTCAGCCAGTCATCCAGGTGCCAAATGTTATCTGTCACACTAATTCTATGCCCTATATAAACATCTTTGCCCTGTGATAGGGATGAGTTGCTGTAGCTGTTAAAAGAGCACATAGGTGGGAAATGGAAAAGAASACAAATCATGACAAGTAACACTTCCTGGGAATATGCAACTTTGGGGATTCCTCAATAGTTTTATCCTTTATGTTTGCCTCAGACAGGCTGGTGGGATCATCCTGCCGTAATGATGCATGTGGTTTCTGAAGCTAGTAAGGTTGTATGTGGACGAGTAAGGCACATACCACGCCTTTAATTGCTGATAGGCTGAGTTGAACTCCCTGGAGAGGGTAGGAACTGTCTCGTTCCCCCACCCTCAGAACTTTTGCTTTACTAAAGGGTGCTGCTTCCCATGGGAGTCTCTGACTCACTCACTTTGACTTAAGTACTGGKGTCCAGTAAGGTAGTGGACTCATTCCTAAGCCCATCTGAGCTTGGTGTCCAAGGCTAGGATTTTTGTTTATTTATCCTCTCTAGACAGTACACCTTTCATCTTCTGTGGTAGTCCAGAGAACATGGGGCTGAGTGGATGGGAATCTGGGGGTTTAGGTGCTCTCTGAAGAGATTTGCAAACCTTTCTATAGTTGTCAGCCCCATTCTTCACATCTCTTCTGCAAGGTAACTGCACATTGATAATTTCTGAGCCTTTAASGGATTCTCCTAAGAGAATCTGCTTATTTCTTATTGGTTCTTTCCTCTCACAGAATTCTTACAGGGCATAGAAAGCTAAAATTTGACAGTTATCTGTCTCTTTCTTTCAGAGTGTTTTGATAGTTTTATTTGCTGTCATGTTATTTCCCATCCCTTTTATCCTGTGAGTTTATATATATATATATTTTTTTGGTAGTAGGAATTTGAACCCAAGGGTGCTCTACCACTGAGCTAGATTCCCCAGCCCAGCCCTTTTTATTTTTTATTTTGAGATTGGGTCTTGCTAAAATTATTGAGACTGGCCTCAAACTTGCTATCCTCCTRTCTTAGCCTCCCAAGTTGCTGACATTACAGGGTCTGTCTGACATTACAGACACTCTGTCTCTGAGTTTATAATTTCTATTTATTTATTTTGGATTGCTGGGGAAAGAACCAAGGTCCTCACACATGCTAAGCAAGTGTTCTATTGCTGAGCTATCCCCGCCCCAGTTTATAGCTTTGTTTTGTTTTGGTACTGGAGATTGAACTCGGGGGCACTGGACCACTGAACCACCTCCCCAATCCTATTTTGTATTTTATTTAGACACAGGGTTTCACTGAGTTGTGTAATGCTTCGCTTTTGCTGAGGCTGGCTTGAACTCATGATCCTCCTGTCTCAGACTCCTGAGCCACTGAAATTACAGTCATGTGACAGACCCCAATTTCTAAATTTTAAATATCACTTTGTTATACTTTTAGTGAGACTTCACAAAAAAACAGGTAAATGTACTTGTAAAGTCTCAACCTGAATCATTGATTCAGTCATTTGAATGTCATGAATACTATGGCCCTGTACTTTTCTTGCTGTTTCTTGTTACAAAATACAAAACTGGCAGATGTTCTTGCCCTCCTGTGGTTTAAATGTTTGTTGTGAAGATTGACACTATTCAAGACAAGTATTGAGATGTAGTATATTAGATAATGGTTAATGTTAGAAAAATGAAAAGGACACGGATTAGGAAATACTATGTGGAGAGTTGTAATCTTTTTAGGTATATGGTTATGGAAAGTTTGTTCAGAAGGACTATTTGAGTAAAGACCTTAAGGATCAAGGGAGCCAATCCCAAGAATTTTTTTTTTTTTTTTGTACCTTGGAGCGAACCCAGGGGTGCTTAACCATGAGCCACATGCCCAGCCCTTTTTTATATGTTATTTTGAGACAGGGTCTCATGAGTCTGGCTTTTAACTCATGATCTTCCCGTGTCAGCCTCACAAGTTTCTGGGATTACACATGTGTGCCACTGTACTTGGAACCCAAGGATATATAGGTTCAAGATATATATATATATATATATATATATATATAGGCAAGAACACTGCAGGCAGAAGGAGGAACCAGAATAAAGGCCCTGAGGGAGCTTTGTGCCCAGTGTGTTTGAGGCATAGTGTGAGAGGGACCAATGTGTCTGGATCACAATATAGGGACTAGTTTTAATACTAAGTGAGGTTGACAGAGTTGTGAGCAGAGTCATGCTATGTTCTAACATTATGTATAGCAGAGCTGCTGTGACTGCTGTCTTGAGAATAGTCCATGAGGAGGCAAGGGCCGAGGTGGGGAGACCAGTTAGAAGGCTGTTGCAGTATTCTAGCCCATGTGGAAGTACTCAGTGGTTGGATTCTGGTTTGACTGATGAATTGGGATWTGAGAGAGGGGAATCACCAAGATTATTTTAAGGTTCATAGCTTCTGTGGTCTTTTAAAACTATAGAACTTTGGTTTTAATATTAGTAGTATCCAGTCTGTTAAATGAATACTTTTCTAAAGAATAATATACAATTATTTTAAGTTATTTTGCTTTACAAACCAAAGCTCTTCTTTTTTTAAAGCTCTTCACAGAATACGGTCGTCTGGCAATGGATGAAATTTCCGAAAAACCCTTCCAGGTAAATTATTAACTATGAATGTAATATGTATCTTTGTTTTTAGTTAAAATAAATCAGCAAATGATAGCTCACAGGCTAAATGTGGCCTGTTGCCTGTTTTTATATGACCTGTGAGCCATACACACACACACACACACATTTTAATTTTTTGCAGTGCTGGGGATTGAACACACAGCCTTATGCATGGTAGGCCAATGTTCTACCACAGAGCTACATCCCCAGCCCTGGTTTTATTTTTTATTTTTGGTACTAGGGATTGAACTCTCAGGGGTACTTGACCACTGAGCAGCATCTCCAGCCCTATTTTGTATTTTATTTACAGACAGGGTCTCATTGAGTTGCTTAGTGCTTCATTTTTGCTGAGGCTGGCTTTGAACTTGTGATCCTCCTGCCTTAGCTTCCCAAGCTGCTGGGATTACAGGCATGTGCCATTGCACCTGGCTCCCAGCCCTTGTTTTTATATATTTTAATGGTTGGGGAAAAAAATGAAAATAGGAATAATATTTAAGACATGTAAATTATCTGAAGTTCAGACATCAGCAATAGCTGAAGTGTTAGTGGGACATAGCACATGTTTATGTGTCAGCTATGGCTGCTTTCCTGTTACAGTAGCAGAGTTGAGGAGCTATTTAAAATATTTACTCTCTTGCCTTTTATAGAAATCATTTGCTGACCTCTGCATTAGCTAATTGAGAAAGCACAGTAACCTCAGTAAGACTAGAGGTGCCTTAATAGGTGAACATTATTTCTTTGCCTTCCTTCTTTGTTTTGGTACTAGGGATTAAACTCAGGGATGCTTTACTGCTTTACCATTGAGCCTACATTCCAAGGCCTTTTTATTTTTTCTTTTGAGACAGGGTCTTGCTTAGTTGCTGAGGCTTGCCTCAAACTTGTGATTCTCCTGTCTCAGTTTCGTGAGTAACTGGGATTACAGACAAGTGCCAGTGTACCTTTTTTTTTTTTTTGGTTGAGTGTCTTGCTAATGTTGCCCAGGCTGGTGATAAAACTTATGGGCTCAAGAGATCATCCTGCCTCAGTCTCAGGAGTGCTGAGACTACAGATGTGTTCCAAGCCTGGCTGTTTCTTTTCCTTTTCTAATGTAAGTAACAGATCTGATCTTATGATTAGCTGGTGCCATGTCATTTTTTTTTTTCCTTCTTTCTTTACTACATGCCTCCTACTTGCCTTTAGGGCAAAGATTTGAATTTAATGTTTCCTTTTTTTTTTTTTTCTTTGCTGGGAATTAAACCCAGGTCCTCACACATGCTAGTCAAATGCTCTATCACTCAGCCCTACCTTCAGCCCAAATTTAATGTTTTCTTGGCAGTCTTTTTTATTTCTGTTAATCTGTAGGAATGAAAATAACAGATGGGATACATTGATCTCACATTTGGCTTAAATGTGTCATTTATAGAACAGAAAAATCGTTCAGCACATATCCTTGCCTCCTTTGTAGAAATCAGYATTAAGCAAAGAACTACTGCCATTATTATCTTGAAAATGCATTTATGCCATGTTATATGTTCTCTTTTTTCTAAATAGACACTGATGTTTTTGGTTCGAGACTGGAGTTTCCCCTATGAATACAGCTATGGACTGCAAGGAGGAATGGCATTTTTGGATAAGCGTTTACAGGTAATTGGAAAGAAAATCTCCTGGGGAATTTTCTAAAAATATTGACAGCTTTCTTATTTGCCTTTGGCTGTTGTATTTAAAACAGATAATTGAAAATTATACTAAATGTATTAAATATATGTATGGGCTGGGGATGTGGCTCAAGCGGTAGCGCGCTCGCCTGGCATGCGTGCGGCCCGGGTTCGATCCTCGGCATCACATACCAACAAAGATGTTGTGTCCGCCGAGAACTAAAAAATAAATATTAAAAATTCTCTCTCTCTCTCTCTCCCCTCTCTCACTCTCTCTTAAAAAAATATATATATGTATGAAACTTAGCACAAACTAACATAATTTATTCATGATATAAAAGAACCTGGGTGGGGGCTGGGGATATAGCTCAGTTGGTAGAGTACTTGCCGTGTATGCACAAGGCCCTGGGTTCAATCCCCAGCACCACCAAAAAAAATCAAAAGAACCTGGGTATGAAATGCACCGAGATATGTAGAGAAGAACTTTGAGCAAAAACCCAAGTGTGTTTATAATCTCCATTTCATATTTTAAACCAGATTCTATATGTGTCTTTATATTCAGAATTTTAGTTCTGTTATTTTATTCAAAATTCATATTTGTTTTGACATAGATATAAACAGACCTAGCCTGTTCCCCCAAAACCAAAGYACAGGGGTCTTTAATCACTATTAACTGGTTAGACCCTCCTTCTATCCTATAGAATCTCTGTTCTTAAGCACTGTGCAGTACTCTTTTTAAATTATTTATTTATTTATTTAATGGGTGCTGAGGTTTGAACCCAATGCCTCACAAATGTTAGGTAAGCACTCTTCACTGAGCCACAACCCCAGGCCTGTGTACTCATTTTTTTCTTTAGTATCTCTTCTTAGTTAGCTATGGGAGAGTCAAGCATGGTTAATCACATTCATACATTTACTACTTCTTGGGGTTCTCAGGTTTTTTTTTTATTKGTGTATGTAATCYGTCACAGCTGAATTATTTAACATGCTTAATTTTTACCAATTTCTTCATCTGTAAGTAAGGGAAATCTTTCCTTTGTCTCCATTCTAATGGTTTCTAGTGAAGAAAACCAAATAGTCTTTGGTTGAATGAATACTTGTTCTTCATTGGCAGGTGAAGGAACATCAACATGAAGAAATTCAGAATGTTCGAAATCACATCCACTCATGTTTCTCCGATGTTACCTGTTTTCTCTTACCACATCCAGGACTCCAGGTGGCCACAAGTCCTGATTTTGATGGGAAATTGCAAGGTGTGTTACAGATGTTGTTACTCTAAACATGTGACTTGATCTTTGGAATTAAGTAATGACCAATAAATGTCAATTAAAAATCAAGTGAATAGTTGGCCAGGTGTGGTGGCTCAAGCCTGTAATCCCAATGGCTTGGGAGGGTGAGGCAGGAGGATTGCAAGTTCAAAGCCAGCCTCAGCAATTTAGCAAGGTTCTAAGAAATTTAGTGAGACCCTCTCTCAGAATATAAAAAGTACTAGGGATATGGCTCAGTGGTTAAATGCCTCCGAGTTCAATCCCTGATACCAAAAGCGAACAAGTAGTGAATGCTTAAGAGAAATAGAATAGTCTATAAGAAAAAATAGTATTTAGAGTCGAGTTCACATTTTGCTCTTGACTTAATGTGACCATCAGAATTAGTTTACTGGGGCTGGGGTTGTGGCTTAGCGGTAGAGCGCCCGCCTAGCACGTTCGAGGCCCTGGGTTCAGTCCTCAGCACCACATATAAATAAATGAAGGTATTATGTCCAACTACAACTAAAAAAAAAGAATTAGTTTACCCTAATTTCTTCATCTGAAATTGTGATGGTTATATCCATCAATGATCTTTCTAAGAGATGTTATAATTATTGATTTACAAGAGATGGAAGTGAGGGGCTGGGGCTATAGTTCAGTGGCAGAGTGCTTGCCTAGCGTGTGTGAGGCACTGGGTTTGATCCTTAACACCACTTAAAAATTAACAAATAAAATAAAGAAATGCTCTTAATCTGCTATTACAAAAAATAATGAAAAAATAGATATGGAAGTGCTAAATAAAGGAAGGCTATTTATCAAGTGAAGTTATCTTCCCAAGTAAAGGTACCATGATGCGTGTTGTTTTCATGTTGTGATTATAACAAAACCCGCCAGGTCAAGTTTTAATATCAGGAAGTGGGTGGCAGGTTAGAGGAATTAAGAATTGGGACTCTTAGGATCTATTATCTTATTTTTGTTCCTTATTCATCAAGGCGTTTTGTTCCTCATTCATTAAGTCATTTAGTGGCTGGGCCACAGTTTACATGTGCTAAGCTGAGTAGTTTGTTTATAAGCTGCTCAGTTCCTGGTAAAGTGTTGATAATAATAGCTACTAGTTTTGKAGACCTAGCTGAGTTGCCATTGCTATGCAAGGTGCTTTCATACTGAGGCTCCCAATAATTTAATGAAGTTGATGTCATTTYCCTTAACTTACAGATGAAGAAATTGGTAAAAATTAGGCATGTTAAGTAATTCAAAGTGCTCAGTGAAAGTGTAGGGCAGATTCACATTCCAGATTCTGATGTCCCAAAGCTGTACTGTTCAGAAATAGAAATTCTYTGTTGTTTATGGGAAGTCTTTCAGAGGGTATGTACTATTTAGTTACCAGAGGAACTTGCCTTTCAAAGTAGAAGGTTTTCATAGCTTCATATTAAATATAAAATGCATCATTTTTCACTTTATTTGATTTAGTGGATCCAAGAAAATGAATGTACTTAATCAATTCAAGACTTACAGTCTAGCTGATCTTAGTATGGCAAAAGSAACCCACTTTTAGAGATTAATCTTTGACTTTGTATTTGTTACTTACAAGATAATTTTAAGTTGTTGGCAGCATTCTTGTAGAGGAAACTTGCAGACTGTTATATTGTGATTGAAAAATCCACGATTAAGATCTGGCTTTGGGGTTGGGATTGTGGTTCAGTGGTAGAGCTCTCGCCTCACAAGTGCGAAACCCTGGGTTAGATCCTTAGCACCACATAAAATAAATAAATAAACAAGTGAAAAAAAGGTGGTTGTGTCCAATTACAACTAAAAAATAAATATTAGAAAAAAAGATCTGGCTTTGGGAGAGAAATCTTCTTAGGCAAACATGAGTTAGAAATCTCTTACCTAATAAAAGCAGTTGTGAGGGAATTTTCAGAGTTAGGTAGGGAGAAAAAGTTGAGCGTGAATTCGCATGTATCTGTGTGTAGGTTATATATATGTATATGTGTGTGTATTTTTGTTTTGGTATTGGGGGATTAAACCCAGGAGCACTTTACCACTGAGCTACATCTTAGCCCTTTTTTAATTTAAAAATTTTGGGGGGGAGTACTTGGGATTGAACTCAAGGACACTGAACCACCGAGCCACATCCCCAACTCTATTTTGTATTTTACTTAGAGACAGGGTTTCCGTTGCTTAGTTTTTTGCTGAGGCTGGCTTGGAACTCCCAATTCTTCTGCCTCAGCCTCCCGAGCTGCTGGGATTCCTGGTGTGCACCACCGTGCCCAGCTAGGTCTTTCTTTATTACATGAGAGAGTAAGTTCAGGAATAAATATAGGGGGACTGGGGTTGTGGCTCAGTGGTAGAGTGCTTGCCTAGCACATGTGAGGCACTAGGTTTGATCCTCAACACTACATGTAAGTAAATAAAGGTATTGTGTTCATTTACAACTTTAGATAAATAAATGAATAAATATAGGGCTGGAGGTATAGAGCTCAGTGATAGAATGTTTGCCTAGCGTGAGGCCTTGGGTTTGATCCCCAGCACTGCAAGAAGCAAAATGGTCAGAATATATTAATGAAAACACGGGCAGCATCACAATAATCAAAGCACAAATGTGTTTGTATGAGCTATAAACTTTGTAGTACTGGGGCAGTATCAAAATTTAAAATGTCTCTGTTCTTTGATATCCAGTATTCTCCTTTTAGGAATTTATCCAAGGAGTTTTCTAAATCAGTGGCAAAATGTATGTCCAAGGCTAAAACTTCACTAGCATTATAATTATGGAGAGTAGTTGGAAACAACCCAAATGTATGTTTATCAGGAATTGGTTAAATTAAAGTACCTCGGTACAGAGGAATAAAATGTGGTCCTTAAAAAGGATAAGATATTGGGCTGGGGTTGTGGCTCAGCGGTTGAGTGCTCAGCAGTTGAGTGAGATCCTGGGTTCCATCCTTAGTGCCACATAAAAATAAATAAGTGAAATAAAAGTTTTGTGTCCAACTACAACTAAAAAAAAAAAAAGGATAAGGTATATAGGTGGATCTATATGTATTTACAAAGAAAGATTTTCATGATAAATTATTAAATGTAAAAAGATTGCTCAATACCATATGTAGTATGATCCTGTTTGTTTTAATATACATATGTTTTTTAAGTACTTTTTCAATAGAAAGATTTGAAAAATGATTTCCTTTTTTTGCTTCATTTAAAAAATGTCATTAGTTAAATAGTCCTCTGTGTCTATGAGGATTGCTTGTTAAGAATTCTTTTAGGGCTGGGCGTGGTGGCGCACGTCTGTAATCTGGGGCTGTGGTAGGAGGATCAAGAGTTCAAAGCCAGCCTCAGCAAAGTCCAGGCACTAAGCAACTCTGTGAGACCCTGTCTCTAAATAAAATACAAAATAGGGCTGGGAATGTGTCTCAGTGGTCAAGCCCTTGAGTTCAATCCCCAGTACCTTAAAAAAAAAAAAAAAAAAGGAATTGTTTTAGTTCTGTGAAAGTTTACGTATAGCCATGTGCCACATAATGACATTTCAGTCAGTGATAGACTGTATACCAGTGGTCCCAAAATATACGTGGTCCCATATATATTTTTACATAGCCTACATACGTAGTAGGCTATCACGTGCAGACTTGTATAAGAAAGATTCATGAGCTCACAAGAGGAAATTGCTTAATGAAACAGTTCTCAGGGGCTGGGATTGTGACTCAGTGGTAGAGCATTCGCCTAGCACATGTGAAGCACTGGGTTTGATCCTCAGCACCAAGTAAAAATAAATAAAATAAAGGTATTGTGTCCACCTTCAACTTAAAAAAAAAAACAGTTTTCAGATTGTCTCTCTGCTGTTAAGTGATACGTGACTGTACTTTTTAGAATTGGAGATGGATATTTTGTAATTTTAGGAAACCTTTTAACCACATTGAAACATTTTGAGTGAAGAGTAGATGCTAAATTGCAAACAACAGGTGACTTTTTTGAGAGTGTTTGGCTGGTGCTGGCCTAAGACCCACAGCCTTTTTTACAAGACACCTGTAAGTAGAGCTGATGTATTTTTCAGAGTTAAAAAACCTGGATGTTGGGGTTGGGGATATAGCTTAGTTGGTTGGGTGCTTGCCTCTCATGCACAAGACCCTGGATTCAAATCCCCAGCACCAAAACTAAACAAAACAAAAAAAMCCCTGGATGTTGTATTATCTGAAGTTTACTTGTGTAATTACTTGATTTAGTGTTCATAGTCTTATTCCATATAAGTTAGAAAAGCCAACCTTATGGTTAGGGGTAATTCTTTGGAGAACCTTAAGTAGTTTCTATAGAAAATTTAAATTTCGTAAGAAGCCATTTCTAGATGTTTCCTCAAATCTTTTAGGAATTGTTTAGTGGTTTTATTTTACTATACTTTTAAAGATTTGACTACTTACTCAAACAGCTACCAAATACCATCTTCATTTGTGGTGTAATAGAAACTGAGCTGCTGCTGCCTGCTTGTATTAATTAGCTAGGAGATTTAGCTGCTTTTTAAGACCCCATTTCATCAGACACAATTTGACTTTGTCATTAGTATAAAGAAAAATGTCTTTTCCTAACTACTGGAGTAGGGAGATGAATATAGTTACTGTTTAGTTAGAAATTAAACAGAAAGGTTTGTAGAGCACAGTCTTTGACATCATGAGGGACTGAGCTTATCTCTGTTGGTATATAGTTTTTGTCTATTCTGATTTGAAATAATGTTAAACATGAATGGCTTAGGATCTGTAAATGTTGGTAAAATGCAATCTGTAGTACCTGTATCCTGCCAGTTCCCTGCATGAAATATTTTTTGGAACAGTCTTTCAGTATGATAAAAATTGAAACCATAAAACAATTTAAATAGATAATACATTCCTATGTTTAAAATTCCAAAAAGAGTTAAGCTTTTGGTGAAAAGTCTCTCATTTTTTATAAGCTTCCAGAGTTTCTTTAGTATATGCAAGCAAATATGAATTTACATAGGATTTATATTTTATTTTTTGCTTTACTGGGAATTGAACCCATGGCTTTGTGCATACTAGGCAAATGCTCTGCCACTGAGCTATATCCYCAGCCTTTTTAAAAATTTTACTTTGAGACAGGGTCTCACTAATTTGCCCAGGTTGACCTTGAACTTGGGACCCTCCTGCCTCAACCTCCCTAGTTGCTGGAATTACAGATGTGTACCATTATTATGAATGACAGATACTTTTTTAGTGCAAGTTTATAAGAAATTTCTCTCACTTTTCTTGAAATTTTGTGCTTTAAATTTTAATATTATAATTAGGTTTGTGGGGTGTTAAAGAATTCTTACCTTGTTATGAATTCCAGCCTACTTTATTTTTAGCTGGAAGTTGGGAACTCAGGAAGATGTTAGAAGATTATACAAATAAGATTTGTCTTTTAATTTTGCTTCTTTACTGTTGGACAGACTAATTCTCACTTTAAGAAACTAGCTSTTGTTTGAGCACCTTCCTGAATCCTCTGTGGGAACTTTGTAGAACCTGTAAAGCGTCTGTCACCTTTCCTGACACAATGGTTTTTTTCATCTTGAGGTAGCCCAGAGAGTTATCTGAGGAGATAATGGGAAATAACAGCATGAGGCATAGGGGCTTCTACCTCTTCTACCTCTTAAATGTTAACAAAAATAAAGCATATTAATGAACAGTGATTTCTGGTTGATATCAAGGGCTAGTGAGAGGGTGCAGTAAAAGCCTGAGACAACTTAAAAGGTTGTTTATGTGGGTTAGTTTTTTTTTTTGGGGGGGGGGCGGGTGCTGGTGATTGAACCTAGGGCACTTTACCACTGAACCACATCCACAGTCCCCCTCCCCCCCTTTTTTTTTTTTAAATTTTGAGACTGGGTCTCACTAAGAAATTGAGCCTGACCTTGAACTTGCTATCCTCCTACCTCAACCTCCTGAGTCACTGAGGTTACAGGTGTGCGCCACTTTGCCTGGCTGTTTATTAGTTTCTGAGATCTTATTAGTAACATTGTTTTAAAAATTGAAATTTCTTGAACAGTTAGGGAATAAACTGAATATCCCAGAATGGAAACCAGGATAAGAGTATTTTATATATTCTTTTCTGAACTAGAGGACTTCACATGCCAGAAGGGAAGGAGACAAATAGAGGTGCATTTGAACAGAGATCTGTCAGCATCCTGGTACTATCCAGGAAGTATCAAACATACATATAATCTGGGATTCCTCTCACTCTTTTCAGCAAACAAATGTTAAAATAATTGGATAACCCTATGAAATTTGTGTTTATRCTCACTTTGGTTGAATAAGGCTGTTTGGATTCTTGTCTCCTTTTTCATGGTTCTGTGAACAGATATTGCTGGTGAATTCAAAGAGCAGTTGCAGGCGCTGATACCATATGTATTAAATCCATCTAAGTTAATGGAAAAGGAGATCAATGGCTCAAAAGTTACCTGCCGCGGACTGTTGGAATATTTTAAGGTAAATATGGGTTTTATATTTAAACTGTTTGATTTTTGATAAAACTAATCTAGATTGTAAACCATCTTGAATTTTAATATTCTGAAACTTCAAAATTTCCTGGAGATGGTGAAATGCATTTTGAGACCTCAGTGCCCTTCCCAGAATGGGCCGCTGGGTGGCAGTATGGGTCTAGGAACCAAATGATGTTCTTTGCACTCTCTTTGAGGAGTGTTTACAGTTGCATAAGGAAGATGGTTCTTCAAGGAAGATGGTGTGGACAGGAGATGGGTAGGAAGTTGTGACCCGACTACCTCCAGGCGGATGGTCTCTCTGCCCAGGTTGTGGTGAGACCAGTGTGCATGGGGAGTCTGATGGGAAAGGGTTGCTAGGCTTTTGCTGCTTGAGAACATTTTTAGATAAAAATGCTAACATGCACTCAAAGGTGTGTTGTGTTTTTGCTAATTCCTGGTTGTTGATGTAGGTCTTTAGGAAATTGCAGTTGTATGGTCCCCATTTCAAAAAATTAGAGCATGATTAAACTATGACAGAATGACTTTTCTCATAATAATTCTTATGTTTATATTCTAAGGCATATATTAAAATTTATCAAGGAGAAGATCTGCCTCACCCCAAATCCATGCTTCAGGTAATCAGTCCTTTGATATCTTAAATGGTATCCTTTAATTGCTCAAGTTGTTGCAGTTACAGTAAAACAGAATCCTGTAAGAAGAGAATGAAACAACTTGCCTTTCCCATAATGCTAGATATGTTGATGTTTAGCACACCTTGCTGCACTGTGAGTGCCTTTTGGTTTTCTTGTCTTCATTCACAGTGGTACAGTTAAAACAGGTTGGCCTCTCTTTCCTGYTCTTCCTCTCACATAAACTTTGGGAAACATTGCTTCATTATGCCCAGGCGAAGCATACCCACTGTACTAGACAAGTGACTTCTAGTCATCTGGGGTTTACTTCAGTAGGACATGTCTTGACTTGTCTACTTACGATGCACACTGTTCAGGTTTTTTATTTTCAAGTAGAAAAAAATCATTTGTTTGAAACACTTTCTGACTTCATTTGCTGAACATAAGGGCATTTATTGCCAAATACTGATTTCTTTAGTAGCAAAACATTTTCACAAAGGTAGGTAGAGCCTGTGATTGACATCATAAAGATGTGTGTGTGTGTGTGTGTGTGTGTGTGTGTGTGTGTGTTTGCTTCTATTTCTTTCTTTCTTTCTTTCTTTTCTTTTTTTTTTTGTGGTGCTGGGGATTGAACCCAGGGCATTATCCAAGCTAGACAAATTCTCAATTCTGTACCACTAAGCTATATTCATAGCTCAAGCCTTTCTTTTTTTGGTACCAAGGGTACTTAACCACTGAGCCACATCTTCAGCTGTTTTTTTACATTTTATTTAGAGATAGGTTCTCACTGAGTTGCTTAGAGCCTTGCTAAGTTGCTGAGGCTGGCTTTGAACTTGCAGTCCTGCCTCAGCCTCCTGAGCTGCTAGGATTATAGCTTTCATTTATTTTTTTACATTTAAAGTTGAAGCAAAGGAAATGATGTTTTCCTTGACTTATGGAGTTTTAATTCATGCTAAAGATTTTAGATCAAAGAAACATGTTTTGGTAGAAAGTTTGGTAGAAAAGGTGTAATTTATTCATTAATTGATGATATATGAAGACCTGAAAAATAGCAGAAGGTCAATTAAAAAACAGCAGAAGGTCAGTAAAAAAAAAACAAATGGGGAAGAAGGTAAGGGATGGTTTTTACTTGGTAAAAAGAAGGTAAGGGATGGTTTTTACTTGGTAAAATGGAAGAATTTGTAATTCATGCTTTCATTTCTTAAAAGGCCACTGCTGAAGCCAACAATTTAGCAGCTGCAGCCTCTGCCAAGGACATTTATTATAATAGCATGGAGAAGGTATGTGCTGCATATTCCTTTTTCTGAAATATGTGTACCCTGTGCATTGTTGCTTAATTGAAAAGTCCAAACTCGATCCTGCTTAGTGCATCTTCTGATGAGGCAGCAGAGCTGTTTTCAGGTCTGCTTGGTGATTGGGGCCTTCTGATTATTAACATTTCTAACCAAGGTTTTATTACAGTGCAGCTGCTCTTTCCGATTACTAGTACTCTGCTGGTTTAAATGACTTTATTAGCCTTGATCGTCTCTCTAACATTAAGTTCTAATATTTTAAAACATCTTCTATGTCTTTTCACTTGTTTTATTCAGCATTTGTTTTTGAAGGGATTTTCAGTATACCATTTTTATTCTTTTTAGGTTTGTGGGGGAGAGAAACCTTATATGTCTCCTGACATTTTAGAGGAGAAGCACTGTGAATTCAGACAACTGGCTCTGGACCAATTTAAGAAGACCAAGAAGATGGGTGGGAAGGATTTTAGCTTTCGCTACCAGCAGGAGCTGGAGGCAGAAATCAAGGAACTCTATGAAAACTTCTGCAGGCACAATGGTAGCAAGAATGTCTTTAGTACTCTCCGAACCCCTGCAGTGCTGTTCACAGTCATTGTTATTTTGTACATAGCCTCAGGCCTCACCGGCTTCATTGGTCTTGAGATTGTGGCCCAACTGTTCAACTGTATGGTTGGACTGCTGTTAATAGCGCTCCTTACTTGGGGGTACATCAGGTATTCCGGTCAATATCGAGAGCTGGGCGGAGCTATTGACTTTTGTGCAGCATATGTGTTAGAGCAGGTAAGTGTTTTTGCTGGCTGAGAGTTGATAATGGACAGATATTTGTGTTTCTATTATATCTCAGTTTGGGAGAATTTCAWAGTGAAACGAAGCATGAGAAATTTACCTTGTTCATTTTTTTATGATGGATTTTATATATTATTTTTTTTAGAATATTAATATTCCTAATATTTTGTTTCCTTGCCTAAAATTAGTCTTTAATGCAAAAAGTTTTGAACTTGGCTGTATTTGTTCCTCGTGGGACACTTTTAAAATTACATGCTCTTTAAGCACAATTCCAGTGTAATTCTCTTCTATGCCCACTTCCCTGATTAATTTGTTTCATGAAAAATCAAGAGCTTTGAAAAAAATAAGGACTCAACAAAATGTTCTGTTTTGAATCCTATTCGGTTAGAAAATGGCCTCTCCTTCATTTAAAAATCTTGCAAAAAGCCAGTGACTTGGGCTGGGGCTGAACCTCATTGGTAGAGCACCCACCTCGCATGTGTGAGGCACTGGGTTCGATCCTCAGCACCACATAAAGATATTGTGTCCAAGTGCAAAAAAAAAAAAAAGAGCCAGTGGCTTTTGGCATTGGCATGTTCTCCRATTTTATAGATCTTTTTTTTAATATTTTTTTTAATTATAGATGGATACAGTATCTTTATTTTTACTTTTACTTGGTGCTGAGGATCAAACCCAGTGCCTCACATGTGTGAGGCAAGTGCTCTACCACTGAGCCACAATCCTAGCCCCAAATCTTACAGATCTTTGAGCCTGGCTTGTTTCTTTTCCTGAGTAACATGAACAGATCAGTTAGGTCAAGTAGCATATGAAACCAGGCAAGCCACCCACACTTCCCCAGCTATGGGGCAGATGCTCCACTGACTCTTGGGAGTTAGCTGCTGCCATAGCCTCCCCTCACCCTGCATTCTCATTTTCCTTCTTTTGGCAGCATACTGATGAGGAAAGTTTATTTCCAAGGACTGTCTTGGGTTCTGTGTTGTATTTCATTAACTTACATATTGAATAAATGGACTTTTGCAGGTTTCTTCTCATATTGGTAATTCTACTCAAGCTGCTGTGAGGGATGCAGTTGTTGGGAGACCACCTATGGATAAAAAAGCTCAATAGCATCTTAACAGATCCAGCAGGAGCCCGACCAGTTCCTGGATTCTTGGATCTCTTCATGGCCCTGGGTCCAGGTCCAGAGGAAGGGCAGATCGGAAACCATCTGGCAAGAGCTGCAACAGGGAACTGCAATAAATGAACTGACCTCTTCTGTGGTTTCAAATTCTTAAACACATTTCCATTTCTGTTGGAAGCATTCCTTTTCTTGCTCTTAGATCCAAGTCCATATCTGTCTTGTTATTCTCTGCTTTGTGCACTTTATAGGCAGTGGGGGAAGCTAAAGAAAAATGTGGAAATGCAGCTTTTAAGTCTTTTATGTGCCACTCTAGTGCCTTTTAAGATTGAATCCATGCTTTTGTGGACACAGAGGGGAAGAGATGGAGGAAAACTTCATGAAAATGTGCTATTGTGGGTGAAACTTGTCAATTCTTACATACCTTACTCATTTGAGATAGTTTCCTTTTTTAAAAAGTTTACAAAACTTGGAGAAGCTTCAGAACTAAAGAATAACTGAAAATGATGCCACTACACTTTTAAAATCTTATTTATAATTTTAAGCTTCTGTTTGCCATATGCCATGGGAAAACCATATCATATTTAAATATACATACTTTAGAATATAAGGTCTTTTACTTGATAGCTTGGTAGTTTTGTTGAATCTGCTTTATTTTTTGTTCCTATGGCTTTTAGTACAGAGGTAAACATGCCTGAAAAGCCAGAGTAGCCCATAATAAGAGGAATGAGAATGGATACTTTAAGGAAAAAGCCGAGTTTGAATGAACCTGTGAACGTCTGTCAGTCACTTGAACTTGTGCCTTCATTTTTTTATAACATGTATATGTTATACGTAGCTCTCAAACAAAATTGTCATTTGAGATATTTTGTTTTTGAGTTTTGCATGAGTATAGAACTTTATATTAAGGATTAGAGGAAATATTACCAAATATTAATGCCTTTAATATCCTTTTTCAAGTGACTTAACAGTAATTAATAATTGAATTACCTGACTTAAAGTCTTTGCCCAAACTGTTTATTTATATTCTTCTATGCACTAATGTTCTTAATAACGAAGCTAAAATTGTTAATTTCACTTCATGAGTCTTCCTGTATTTACTTTTAGTGTTCATTAGTCTGGTAGCTTTAGAATAACTTTGGCTTAGGAAGGACCAAAGTCCTACCCAAATATAGATAGTWTCTAGAATTATCTATGAATTTTTTTTWAAATTTACTTTATGAGATGAAAAAGTTTTATCTGTTGGTTGCTTTGTTTTCTTTGATTTATAATGGTGAATTGCAGATTTTAAAACTTGCCTACAAGTATTTATATAAACATTCAGGTATATGAACCTTTATTTTTAAGATAATTTGATTTTTGTTGTGGGAGGGAGGTTGGAGGGCTTAGGCAAAACCTGACTGGAAATTTTATATACATGAAGTATGAATGGAAAGGAGAAAAAAGAAAGTATAGCATTCAGTTGCTGTCAGGGAATTTTCTTTTGACAAAATACTTTACCTCTCAAGTATTTTTATAAATCCTGAATTAATTCCAAGCCCTTTACATATTTTCATATTTACATACCATCTTGTCTTGAAGTTCTTGCTATTTTATTCACTTTCTGTTAACATTTTAGAAAAATTTCAGCTTGTTCTAAAAGCTGTTCACTTGCATCTGAGTGATAACCAAGCTTTGACTAATAAATTGAAAGCTCACTTTAGAAATTTTGGTGCATTTTGAGGTGACTTCTCATCTCTCTGAAGGTTCATACTTACAGGCCTTGCTGATAACTAAAATTTTAATGAATTCTATAAGTAAATTTACATGTAAGTAAATTTACAGATTTCAGAATAATTGTCCAAAGTGGTTTTACATTTAAAAGTGACAAAGGATGATGATGCATCTCTTTATTCTAATACAGAAGTATTTGGTTTCTTTTTAAAAAAGTGTATGATTTAATAATGTCTTAGGATTTTGTTCCTGTTTAATTCACCATTTCTGTTTTGGTCTTCTACAGGAACAACCTTTACAAGAATTACTTGAGTTTTTTTCATTGTTTTTAGTTACCTTACTCTGCCTCTGGAAAGTGTTTATGTAAAGTTTTGTGTGACAGTTCTTTGGCCTCTTTTTTTGGCCTCTTTTCTCTTTTAACAGTAAATTGATGATTTTATATCAACCTTTTCATGAAAGATGTCTTCTCATTGCTTATAACCAGGTTGAAAATGTCTTTTCCAGTTTTCCCCCCCTTCAGCTTTTGCTTTRTTTGGGCAATTGTGTAAGAGTCAGTGTTCACTGCTCTGTCACTGCTGGTGGACATTCATGCACACATCATTAATTTGCACTTTCTTAATATATGGAGCACATTTTTATTAAACTGTATGTGGAAAACTTAAAAATTCCGTTAAAATAACTCATTTCAGCAGAAATTGCCAATTTTTTTTTATGTGGGGGGGGTGCTAGGGATTGAACTCAAGGGCACTCAACCACTGAGTCCCATCCCCAGCTCTATTTTGTATTTTATTTAGAGACAGAGTCTCACTGAGTTGCTTAGCACCTTGCTATTGCTGAGGCTGGTTTTGAACTTACAGTCCTCCTGCCTCAGCCTCCCGAGCCGCTGGGATTATCCAAGGCGCTGGGATTATAGGCTTGAGCCACCGCACCCGGCATGCCAGTTTTAATAGTTCCAATTTGCTTATAGTTAAAATAGTAGAATTGAAGTTTTGAGTCTTTCACTGAGAAATATTTCTAGATAAGTTTGTAGACAGGGCAAACTGTTATACTGTATGGTGATAAAAATCTTCACAGTTGTCACTTTTTTTTTTTAAAGCAGTATACCAAAAAAATCTGCTTATTCCATGGAGGTTTATGTTTTAACAAAGTTGCTTATTGTTTGTTTTATTTGTTCTATTTTTTTCCTCTTACTTTGGGCAAATAAACAAAAACACTGCCTTGTACTTGGAGTACTTTCTCTAGCAAGTCAACACAGAATGTTTCTAACCTGACTTATGAAAATGGTGCCTTGGATAGGGTATGTTTGGATGAGCACAGATATGTATGAGAGTTCTAGAGAAATTAGGTAGGTTGATTTTACCCAGACAAAAACAATAAAATAGCCCTCCCCCAGGATTAAAAAAAAAAAAGATGAAACATATGTAAGTCTTCTTCATAGAACTGATCTTTTTTTTTTTTTTTTTTCCTTTGTAGAACTATTGGAATGTAGCTCAGGATGATTTGATGTTTCCACTGAAGGTAGCCAACATGGGCTGTGTCATTTCAGTTTACATTTGGATCCAACAAAATTTTAGTCAAGGCATAAGGGCATAATGAAGATAAGCTTCAGTTATTAAAAGTACAAACTATCTAATTTTTTTAAATGACATTAAGAAGCCCATTGTAAAAGACTCCACTTGAGCAATTTTCCTTCTATTATGAAAAGTCTCATTGTAGCTGTATTTTGGGTAGTGGTTCTCATCTGCCTTGGCGTGCATTTAAGACTTAACTCTGTGATCCTCAGCTTTATACCCAGGGATTGCCTCTGTTGGTCTGGGCTATGTCCCTGGAATCGTCACTTTTATAAACATATTGTGATTCAGAGACCACAAGGAGACTAACCCAGAGGGTGGAAAGTACCAATAAAGGAAAATTTGGTGTTGTCTGGAGGCAGGTTGGACAGCTCTTAACCTGAGTTTCAGGATCAGCGGTCTGCTGTCAGCTACAATCACCAAGGGTTTACTGTGTTCAGAATAATAAGGGTGCCTTAATCCAGAGGATTGTTCTTCAAAATCGTCATAGTGCCTTCTAAGAGAAAATAAACGAATGTAACAAGTATCCTATATACTAACAGTATAATTAGGATTTTTTTAAATGTAATTTTGATAACCRTTTTTCTTTTAAAAAGCCAAATTCAGCACTGTGACTCAAGTTCCTAAATCACACAGAAAACAAACTACAAATAAAAATAATGAACAAAAAAAGGAGGATGGGATTAAAACAGATAATTCGCAGCTGAAGTACCCCATATCAGGAACTTTCTAAGATCAAGAGGCAGAAGGGTTTTGAAAAACAAAAAAATGTTTCTTTGTGAAGGAATTTCATGTGACAAATAAAATTTAAATGTACTGTTCTTAAGATGAAAGGAAGGTTGTAGTGATTCCCAAAACTTTCTAATTCAGATGGACAAAAGCTATCATGGATGTAAACCTTAAAGGGGTTAAATCTTGAACATATACAAATGTTCCTCAGTTTTGTTTTTCTTTTCTTTAAAAAATGACTTGTTAAAATTATGTTCTGCTAGATCCTTGCTTTTGGATGGCTTCAAATTTCAATATAGTTTTTAGAAAGTGCAATGGAATGAGATTATGCTATTAGTATATTAAAAGCATGTTTCTGTTTTACTCCCAGTCATTTAATGGAATAAAGATCACAGTACCTTGTTGCTTGTTTTTCTTGTTCTGTAGTGTGTAAGGACCTGTGAGTGTGAGATGGGCAAAGGGAGTAGAATCTCGAGGGGAGAGATCTGTCGAGGTGTTGTGGTGTGGTTCCTGTCAGCCAGCGTTCTCAGTCCCACAGTCATCATGATCTGGTGTTTATTATCATAGTGCTGTTGGCACAGCAGCTTAAAAGTGAAGGGAAACTTAATGTACAGTAACGTGGACTTGTGAGGACCTTCGGATATGTAGCACTTTGATTTGGTTGCCCTGTTTGGAGGCAACAGCTTAAATGGTTCCTTTTTGGATATGGGGAAGGTGAGAGGCAAAGCTCTGTTGAAAGGTTTCCCTTCTGCAGGTGACCCTGGAGGTGGCAAAGAACTCAATAGCTGGCCATCCCCTATATTGCCCTATGGTAAAAGAGTTTGAAGCACACTGGGTGGAGTAGGCAGCTTTCATCTGCCTAGTTCTCCATTCCTGATGTGGTGATCTTGTGTAAGATGCTATCCTGGGTGCCCAGCAGGGTTCTTCAGTTTGGCAAGGGACAGGGTGGGGGGGGTACTTGGGTGCTTCCATTGGTGGTGTTGCCCCCACCAGCTTAAGGTTGGGAGGAGGAGTGAGCAGGGTGAGGTGTGTGGTCCTGCATGGATGAGTCCAGTAAATTTATGGCTTGCTTTTGAGTCTCCTGTTCCAGGTGGCAAAAAACAAGTCCAACTCTTAATCCAAAAACAGGATTGTAGCTGGGAAAAAGTTTTTGTAACTGGATTTCTAGGGCCAAAACTGACAAYAGGCACTTGAGGGACTCAAGAGACCAACAGGACCAACAGTGGCCAAATTATCTGTTGTTGCAGATGGGTTTCTCGAATGCCCTAGGGGAGGGCAGATAGATGGTTCTAGGCTTATGTCATTATACTTAAATATCCCCAGAGGAAAGAGACTTTTAATTAAGTTGTCTATTTAAAAATGTATTTCCATTCCCAGAGAAGACACCTGATTGGTGTGATGTGAGTCATGCTTCTTGCAATCAGTACTGTAGCCTGGGGACTCRGCCACCTTTACCAGTCACAGCCAGGTCACAGGCACTGTGATTGGCAACTCCACTAGGACCACACAGAGATACCCAGTGAAGACTGCTGGCCAGACCAAAACAAATACCCACTTAAGTTACTAGTTACTCAAACTGGCCCATTTCGAAAACATGGGAGTGAGAGAACCTGGCATGTTTCCCAGGTTAAAGGTTTTGAAATGTACTTTTAAAGAGGGGGTAGATATTGGTTATGCTGCACAGCTCTTTAGAGCATTTTCACTAGGGTTTTTTTTTTTTTTCTTT